ATCCGAACGCTGCACCAGCGGATCAAACTTTGTGCCAGCGATTCGACCGATGCACCAGCGAGTCGAACGATGTACCAGCGACTCAATAGTGGGGGGACCCAACGTTTAAAGGAAGCCCGCCACTTTCAAGCGATTCGCAAACTATGACATCGGCCTAACTCTGATTTTCTGCTTTTCTGGGCTATCTCACTTATACGTCCTAGAATTAGCATAGTGGAGGGACGTGAAATTCCGTGATGTGTAAACCAGAAATGAAGTGTATTGGATCACAAGAGAAAGGTTCTCACTTTGGAACCCTCTCCTTTCCAAAAGCTCAGTCCTGATTTCGAAGTGATCAGTGAGAGGGTGCAGAAGTGCCGGAAATATGCGTCGAATGGCGACAACGACAAAAACTAATGTCATATTCGTAATCAGGGCACCAAATAATCCCTTTATACAAGTTTAGGACGAATTGTGTGGAAATCAGTCGTGGCGCCGCCTGGCGCCAAGTTAGGACCCTCGACTACCCTCATAGGAAGTTCCAGCGAAAAATTTTTTGAGCCATTTTGCTCCTGTAATAGTGCAGTGGGTTGAGTAGTGCAATAGTGCCGTAAATCGTTTCCATACATACTCTGGTGCAATCATATCTCTATATCAACAGACATCGATCTCTCAGTTCTTTTCGCGAGCACTGCATCTGATTCGATCTGATTCATTTACATTCATTTACACGCAAGCTCCCGTAAAGACTTCAACAAGACAAAAAATAATCCGAAAATTCTATGAGAAGAACAAAACTACGTGAAGTCAAAAAACAAATAAAATCAGGCTTCACTCCTTTCTTTCTTGCTCGTTCTCAACATTTCGGAGGCGGGGTAACATGAAAAGGAAGCTGCTCAGAAATGAAGGATAAAAGCAGCCTGGAACCCGAGCAGTGGGTTCTTAGCCCGTTGATTCCCGCATTGATGCAACAAACATCGCTGCTCCCCTCCCTCATAACGCTAACGTACTCTACGATACGGTTTAAGTCAGACAGCGAGGGGTGAGCTCAAAGAAGGCTCACCGGCGGCGCGGACACGTGTTAAGGCTGCTTTCATAGTTCGCATCGGTGCGGTCGATGCCGACGGCGCCGACCGCACCGACAGTGTTAAGAGCGTCAACACGCGCGCTGGCGCATGACGCGTGCGCTGGGCGCAGATGGGGCGCTCCGGTCGATAATCTTGGTTTTGGTGTATTTCTTGTATTTTTTCGATGTTTTTTGCACTCACTTCATATGAATAAACAAAATTGCTTACGACCAACACACCCGGTATGACCACATCCACCCGGAATTGTGCGACGGGTTCACGACGTCGCTCGACCGCGGAACAACTGGAAAGTATTAATCAAGGCATAAAAGGGCGCAATGTGGCTCGGAGGGGGAGGGGGCAGCCGCCGCGCGGGGCGTTGCGGCAACAGGAAATTCGCAAGCCAGGGGGAGTGTAGCCAATTCAGGGTGGGTGGGGGTGAGGGCAGTCACTTAGCATGCGTGAGAAGCTGAAATGTCCCGTGAAAAGCTGGAATGTTCGAGTTACACTACATCGCTGAGCCGAGCGCCGACTTCCCCCCCCCCCAGCCACATTGCGCCATAAAAGAATAAGTATGAACAGGAAACACACGAATTAAAGTAACACGGCGCGAAAAAACATCGAAATGCACAAGAAATACACCAAAACCAGGATTATCGATCGGAGCACGCGATCTGCGCCCAACGTTCGCGTCACGGCCACAGTGCGTATTGACGTTTCACACTGTCGGCTGCGGTCGAGCGCCGACGGCCCGCACTCGGCACCGACCGCACCGATGCGAACTATGAAAGCAGCCTAACACTCCTTGACGTCAGAGCGTTGGCGATGGAGCGACCAAGCGCCAGCGATGCCCCCATTACTCTAATGTAGTAGTAGTGGTGTGAGTAGGAATCGAAATCGAAGAAGGCCCCGTAGGAATCAACGTCAGCTTGATTGTACACTCTTAAGAGTTACTAATGAAGCCGTTGACTTCCTTGTTCATTACTGATCTTGTCCTACAACTGGAACACCTAAAAATCCCTACACTCTATCGGGAAAATGGCATCTATACGTAATACACTCATTTCACTCAACGCGCTATTGATTTTATAGGTTAAGTAAAGTGCCAGCAACCTCGTTACTGTTTGAGCGAAGTGTCAGGGGCGCACTCGTCCTTTTGCCGATCTTGCCGCAGCTGCAACGTCACCCGTGCTCGCGTCCGCGCCAGAGGTGAGTTTTTCTCTTCCCCTTCCCCTTTTCCGCTCCTATGGGCCACCCATGGGGGGGGGAGGAGAGGGAAACGAGAAAAGCTCACCTCAGTGGCGCGGACCCACCCAGTCCCACGGGCACTGCCCTTAGGCGGCTTAGGGCATTCCCTTCGTTGCCTCTTATTGCCTAATTCAGATTTTATTACTCCTGAAATCTCACTCCAACAATTACCCATCCAGCAGCCGCGCGCATTCCCGCGCCCTTGAAGACAAATAGGCACTGTTTTAAAGTAAAACACTTGAATGTGGATTCCATAATGTTGCCTGTTCGAACCCTTAAACATTAGCCTGTCCTTCTTCTTGGTATAATTTCACTCCTTCAACCTCTGACTTATTATGGAATCCACCTTCAAGTAAAACAGTGCCTGTTTGTGTTCTGCTTAGTGGGCAATGCATAAATACATATACCTGATGCTTTTTGCCTACTATACGCATCTTGCGTGTCCAAAAAAGAAAACTGCTGACGCACGGGCGCAGGATGAAATGGGTAGTCATTAGGTACACTAGTGAAATGATCGTTGTTGGCCTTTTTCTTTATTCAAGCAAAAACTTTCGTCACCGCGCTTCCGTTTTCCAGATTCCAATTTAGAGCCATTACTAGGTTTTTTTTTATATATCTTCGAGTATAAAATGTTTTGTACTTCTCCCAAATTCTACTACAAATTTTTCTTCTATTAGCATAGCCTCGTGCTTTAGCACTCATAGCCTATAGATTTACATATGCGACAGTTCACTAATAGCTGCTGAGTTCGTTGGTAACAACGAAATATTGCACTAACTCCAGAACTTGCCGCCTAGGTTGCAATCAGGATATGGGGCGGTATTCAATCCTTCCCAGGGGGATATATCCCCTTCCTCTGATTCAATCCTCTGGGGAGACAAAAAAAGGGGTGCGTCATAGGACCTAGCATACCTCTGTGTTTCTACCTGCCAGACAGTTAGAGCAGCGCGACCCCTCAGGGGAAAGAGTGCTTCATCAGTGGAGGGTACTTGCGCTGCTCTAACAGTCTGGCAGGTAGAAACACAGAGGTATGCTAGGTCCTATGACGCAACCCTTTTTTGTCCCCCCAGAAGATTGAATCAGAGTAGGGGGATATATTCCCTGGGGGAAGGATTGAATACCGCCTATGGTGTCGGAATCCTTGGGTCTATGCGCCCGAGCCATGAGCTCCAGCGTATGGTCTATGTGAAAAATCCTTTTCTTGTCACAAGTAAGCATATTATTGGGTCAAACAAGTTACAGGCGGGAAATCAAAATTGTGGCCGCACTGGAAAGTGTCTGCCAGTTCTTGTATAATGCACCGGGGCTCTTTCCAATCAACGTCAGAGATTCGTCGTCATTCCGATCAACAGGCGAACCCGCTTTGTGATTTCCTCTCAAGTTTGGGCATGGATGACCACATTATTGTCATCCGGTGGCTACCTCAATACATCACATAGCTTGCTGTATCGCTTGCATTGACGCGTTCCCTAGTTCATAGAAGGGAACCATCTAACGTGCTTCTAGTCGAAGACCTTTGTTTCATATTTGCTAATGTTACGGAAGACATGGTCTGGAGGGACCGTTGACCAGCCTTGAGATATGTATTGCAGTAAATGTGTCAAAAGCGGAATGTTTTTCTAAACATTCCGCTCAAGTATGAGTGAATGGCCACTTTTGCAACACCCTAATATTTCAAAATCATGTTTTGAGACCATTGGGTCCGCCTGCAATATGAAATCAGTTTCTACTTTTACGTCCATCAGTTGGGTTCACATTCACTCCAACTCTTGTGCCATCTTATCCAACTGAAGTTCCTCAGTCTGGCGTGCGGTTGTCCAAAAGGTTCTATTTTTGGTTTATCTATCGATTTTTCTAATAATATGAGTGCACTGGACGAGTTGTCTGCCACGGAAAATGCGTCACATGAATAGCGTAAATGTTTCAGTGACGGTCCATGCACCCCAGTGTGGTTACGAGCATTCCTCCGAGCAACGATCACCTCTTCCTGTTCTGCACACCTGTGGCTAAGAGCAGATAGTTGAAGAACACCATTGCGTCCTGGCCGCTGCATTTGGTCAGCGCAACACGTGAGTGCTTTCTTTCAGTGTTTTTGCTTTTCTTACTATATCGCTTTTTTTTATCAAGCGTTAGTCTCTTATTATTCACATTAGTTGATCATTGAAGTTGCAAAGTTCTTCGTTCGCATCGACTAGAAAGAGACGATATTCAAAGAGGCAGAAAACCGGGTGTGGTTGGCCAAGACAGAAAGCGACCTTTTCGCATTCCGCAGCGAAACATTCCTTGCTGCGGAAAGCTCAGATTCACCACTGATCATTAGTGGACTCGGGGTTCCCCCCCCCCCCATCGAAAAATGTTCCGTGCTGCAAAAAGCGGAAAAGTTGCTTTCTGTCCTCAAGAACTACATCCCAGGAAACCTGCGCAAGCCATTGCTTGTAAAAGCATAGTTATGTACTGAGTGATTCTAGGTCCCATAGTTATGCAAGTTGAGATGGTACACAAGTAGAAATTTGTACATGCTCAGCATTGAATTAGTCGAGTCAAACGTCGTAAGAAAAATAAAATGCCGTTAAATTAAAATTTAAATTTTGGTTCTTCATTTTGATAAAATTTTGCTTCAATTTTTTTATATTTCTTGCTTCAGGAGAGCTCGGCTTATCAGATGCGCTGAGTGGCATTATCACTTCTATCTCACAACCATTTCCTATGATACCGGTACCTAGTGCTGCTGCAGCTGAAGCTAACGTGAGTTGTTACGGATGTTCTTGTGCCTCTTTTCATCGTAAGCATAATCGCCAAATCTGTTTCATAGCGATTCATAACATGTCTACAATTTTTCAGAATGGTAGTGAAGTCAAATATGCTAGTCATTCTCTTCCATGGCCAGTTACTTCGCCAACCGTAAATATACCCTATTTCGATCTGTCAACTTACCGAGCAGTTGATCTCGATGTGGGACCTAGTCGCGATACAAATGGCTTCGACCTGCCTTTGACTGACGTCACCACGCTTAGGTCAGTGTTTTGGAACAATCCTTCTTTTACTTGTCGGTTTAGGTCGTTATATTTCTACTATTTTTATTCTTACTCGTATATGCATGTACTCTGATACGCAGTGTTGTTCTTAGACTTAATGGGGGGGGGGACCAGAGTCAACCGTCACGTTGGACCGATTTCGAAGGTTTTACGACCCCGTCCCCCTTCTAGAGGGCCTCTATACGACCACCACCCCCCTCAGGGTCAACCCTCCGCGACCATCCTCCACTACCCTCGTCCGCCATCGCCATCATGGGAGCGATTCTGTAGTATTTGATCCTGAGCCCATTCGACACAGCCCAACTCCGCCCACTTTTCCCTCCAAAATTGCCGTCGAGCTGGGGTATATATCGAATGTGAGAACCGTCGAGCGGGGATATATATCGAATGTGAGACGGCGAAATTTTCACCTTCAACATTCAAACCGAAATCCCACTCACTAAAACCTAACTCCCCGTTCCTTAAAAACCATCCCTTCCCTTACTGTAACATTAACGCTACCTCGCAAAATAACCCCCCTCCTCTTTTCCACCCCCAATTACGACCCCACCCCCTCGTCCAACGTGTTCAACGGACGGTTGACCCTGGGGCGACGGACTTTTTGTCCATCCGGACTGGCACGCGGCAAATTGCGCGGAGAGCCGCGCGGCGACTCGGACGTTCCGCGGGAATTAAACACGTCAAAGCGTGTGCAGATTGCTGATAAAATCCGCAAGGTTCTGCGATTCGAATTGAATTCCAATGCGCGGGATTTTGAGTACAACAGTGTTGGTTAGGAAACTCCAGTAGAAAGAGCAAGGAAGGAACGAGCGTAGTGCTGTCAAGCGATCAGGGCGCTCATATCGTTGAGAAGACATTCCATTTTGGGGTGGGGGGGGGAGGCGAGTGAGTGTGCCAATTACTGTGCTTGGGATTAGCCTCAGAAAGGGGAAGCAATTTGTGTTCTCCGTGGCGCTTCTTACCTTTCCTAGGCTTAGTTCTAGTGTCACCTGCCGCGTCTCTGATCTGAATGTTCCCGCTAAAGACATGAGCGGTTCGACCAGCAAACATATAGAGCTGACGCTAAATAATTATATCAGCAAAAACTCCTAATTTTTAGTGATTCTTATTCGTTTTTACGATAGTAGTAACATTTCCATTAAGGTCATCGTTCATTTCCTTGCGCTGAAATCTCCTCACCGACGCCACTGCTTACTCTGCGCGCGGAAAGTTTTCAAATGCAGAATCATGCAAAGTTTATCCGCAATCTACACGCACTTTGACGTGTTGAATTCTACTGCAGATCCCGCGAAACCTCGTCACGTCTGGATCGCAGCACATAGCGCCGCGCAACTCATGGTGTGCCAGCCCGGACGGGGCCAAAAGTCCCACACCCGTTAAAAACAGTCCCAGCAGGATGGGGTGGTCGGAAACGGCTGCAATCCCCTTGGCCCAGTCCCACTACGATCTCTTCAGCCCGTAGTCAAGAACATAAGAAGTGTGATTAAACAAAAACACACCTTGGAAAGCCGCTAGGCAGGGAGCCTAAGTGGGCGTGGTCGGAATCGGCCGAGGGGATTGCACTCGTTTCCGACCACGCCCACCCTGCTGGGACTGTTGCTTTAATGGGAAACAATTCTTTGTGCCGTAAAAAACCTACTGTACAGCCTTAACACACCACAACACCTTAACGTGGCAAGGAAAAACTATCATAGAAATTCAGAACAGCTAAAAAGAGGCAAGAGGATAGTTGAGCTATTGTATGAGGTTGTGGAAATCAATGTTACGAGATGTCATGCATTTTTGAGATATTTTGATACAGGAACTTCTTTGAGACTTGGAGCCTTTAATATGACTGGTTAGGTCCTTATACAGTGGGCCAGTGATTCGTGACGGACGGATTACGACGGCAACTCGTCCGAACACGTCCCCCGCTCACTTCAAGAAAAAAGGGAGAGTTTCCGGCCAAGGGCTTCATCGACGGTCTTCTTGGCTTCCACTTTCATTCGTTCTTTGAACAATGACTCCTTATATTCCTAGTGAAATGAAGGAGGGGCGTTCCGGAAGGTTGTCTAAACTTGCTTTCCAAGCTCTACTAACCCGCGCCTATTTGAGTTTGCACAAGTTCATTAGCTCACATAAGCCATCATTTGCTCACTATCTAAGGCCCCTAGCGCTGTTGTCGGCACTTTCGAGCCGCGACAACAGCACATCGGTACTGTGGGCTACCCTATCCTACCTACGAAGTACACTGTTTGACTCGATCTCAACTGAGCTTGTTACCTTGACATGTTGACGACCGTGTGGTATGATGTCGTGCCACACCCTTTCTGCCGCATGGGACCATGCGACATAATTTCTGTCGCAGTCTTGTTCAAGCTGTTTTCAAACTTTCCAGGCAGCTTATTTTTGTGGTGCATATGCCATGCTTAGGCACTATTACAGACCTTTTCCGTGGATGAAGCTTTGGTTAAAGAGTTACCGAGTTCTTGAAGAAATGTATGAATAGTGTTGAGTAACAACACTTTTCGTGCTTATATTTGAATCGCTGCAAAAATATTGTTCACAAAAATAGTCTATGCAGCGGGTGCGGACAGTTTTTCAGTTTTTTTTTCAGTTTTTTGCGTTTTTTTTTCAAGGGACCGTTCCCACGACCTCTTGCTCGCGAGTTCGGGGCACTGCCACTGTGCTTCCTTGCTTTATAACTACGTTCAAGGAATCGTTTAGCAGATAAGGAAGGCAGTTCTTAGCCCAGCGCCTCGAGGCGACTCCAACGGTATACGACTCATTGCAAATGGCCGGACCGGCCTGATGACCTTCCCTCGTCAGTAACCAGCGCACTTTTCGTTGTGAAAGCATCACATATCGCTTCCCTGGTTTGTGTTGTGCACATGCTTCCCCGATGCGCTCCCTCTTCATCGCAATCGCTTTCTTAAGTCCGAAGCACATTTTGAGCTTATGTTAGAGAACGTGTCCACCCGCTTCTTAGACTGTGTCTGCTAGTGATAGAGCTGGTCGGGCTTCCCATTTGTTCCTCTTGACTTATCAATTTATTTACTTTGCTCACATCTCGGACACACATAATAAGTAATAGATGTATGCATACATACGGTATTACACCATCTGCAAAAACTGAGGCTAACCTTCATGCAATAACATGTAAACTCCAGATTTTCAATTTATTTGAACAATTTTTCACGACCATTTCGTCAAGTTTCTTTTACTGGTCCTTTAAAAGGTATATAATCATATTTAAAACATCGGATGCTCATATTTTCGCAGCTCACCTTCATTATAACAGTTTGAAAGGCGTTGTTGCTCAAGCGTTATTGTTTTGGGTGGGCATTGACAAGCAGTGAAAGTGCTTGTTGTAGTCCTTTCTTATTTGAATTTCCATCATAAAATTCCTCAGCTGGGATCTTGCTTCCGTTGATTGCATTGAACCAGAGTCCCCAAGATTTTATCAGTGATAGGAACAATGAAGTTTTCTGCTTCTTTTTCTAGTGAAGTCACCTTATTGCTTTTGAACGATGCCATAACATTTCGCTCATTTTCTTGGGAAATCACCATATCACTGGTTTGGCTGCGTATTATAACGCCTACTCCACTGGTGCTCTAAAACCGTATCAGGAAGCTTGGCACCACATTTGCGGTGCGCGCATTGATGGTAGTGGGTGAGACTCCATCAAGCTCATGTGTGCTACTTTCTTAGGTTATAAGCCATTCTGACCACTATTCTGAACTTGGTTCGATCTTTTTAAATGTCTCTTATGCTTCTCATCTTGGTGGTATAAATTCCTGCAGTAGCGGAGCATGTGGAGAGACTTTCACACCATGGTGTTGCTCTACCTATACCGTTCAATGCATTAGGGTGTAGCTGAGCTTCTCAAAATAATTGTAATCAGGTCTAGACTTTACTTCGAGATGTTATTGAACAGTGAAGAGGAATTGTTTTCAAACAACTTCGCTAGCGAGTCCTATGGGATAAAGAAAATTCCAGAAAAATCGAAATCAGATTGCTGAAAATTCGGCGTAAGATTGGATTGACCCATTCACAGGCATATATTTTTCTAGATTCTTTTTCAACTTGGGAGTGCAATACTCCCGTTCCTTAGCTGCTACTCAACTTTACCAAGAACGATTTACTAATGCTGGAGCTTCAAGCAGTTCCGTTGCTACTGCTCTACCTACGCCGTTTAATGTCGCTCACATCCATCAATTTGCTAGTGTTGGACTGGTATGTGCTTCACTTTTTCTTGCTTTTTTAGGAATCAGCTCACGGTAGCATTCCTAGCCTCCGTTCCATTATGCAGGCTTGATGTCTGTTCAAGACAATTTATTGCCTATTCATGGGGATTTAGTCGCTGTCTTTCCTCTGAAGAGCTTTTGAACGAAGAAGGGCCGAAAGACAAGTTTGAAGTCATGTCACCTTGCGCAGTATTTCTTCCTAAGATAGAGCACAGAACTTTGATTAAGTTGTCTTTCATTGGCACGAAGATAGTGGTGCACGCCGGAGGGGAAAGAACTGCTAGCCTTGGAATCTCCAATTTTTTATGAATATTCTGCGCAAGGTGGGGTCGATCGATATCAGGAAAAAAAGCAGACTTTGTCTCGCTTTACTCAAAATTGAACCCTTCGCCATTACGCCGTCGTCGTTGACTTTCTCCATTGACCTTAGTATTACTGGGGGCCGTTTCCAGCGCAAGGTCCCTCTTGTGTTCCACCAATTTATCAGAAGGATCGGACCCGGAAAAGGGTCAGCTTCTGCTGTCAGAACGCCGGAACCGTTCTGCCAGGCTACTGCACTTTGGAGATTTGCTAGTACACTCCATCCAGTCAGCAACCCTGGTGAATACCCTGGTTGATCACTGTAAGGGACTTTGGGAAACCGGAAAGAACATTACGATGTCAGGTCGTGTTGGGAGCTGACTTGAGCACAGCGCATGTGAAATATAAATTCCATATTCCCAAACCTTCACCATTCTACGGAGATGCCCAATTCCATCATTTTACCAATTCGGATACGCTGCGGCAAATATGGACTACTTTGACCAGTTACATTCTCAGTGGCGCTGCGTAGGGCAGTGAGATTGTCAGTCGAATGGTACCTGGAGTGTGGGACATCTCCAAGTGAGAAAGCCAACCTAAGAATAGTGAACCATAGGTGCACCGTGGATTGAAGGAGCGTGCCCTCGCTTATCTGGTTGATCCACTATCTTCGCTTGAAAGAGTCTAATCAGAAGCATGAAGAAGGAAGCTCAAGAATAAGTTCTAGAAAATTGATGTAATAGCCACACAAGGCAGCGTGTAAATGGTCTGACTAAGTTCTCAAGTAAGATCATTTCGGTACTACTCCGCAAAACATGTATCACACCTTCACCATTTTTCTTGGATTTTTTATAGCAATAAATGCAAAGTGGTTCACTAATTACGGGTCAACCTAATAATAATCCAGTGAATGCCTGTGACTTCCCGTGATCCATTCCTGGCAGTTCCTCATTAACACTCGTCCAAATTCATCCATTTCATTGTGACTTTGGGCTCTGTCTGCGATCGCAATCAGATTTCTTCTATGGACAGTGTCCAGTTTGATACCTAAATGGCGTTATTGCCAGAGGAGGTTATTGCTACAGACAACAATTCGATTCTGGACCTATGCATTCGTAAGCACTGGGTGACGAAGTTTTACGCCGTAAAACATGTCCAAACATTATTTTTGCCCACAAAAAATTGAAACTAATTACTATTACAACATTTCGAGCCATAACGTTTATAACTGCAAAAAAGTATTTGGAGTAGTTGCCATCAGTTTTGACACAGGCCTCAGTTTATTTCTTCAGTGATTCGATGGTGCGGCAGAGATGTTCCACGCATATTTCATTCCAAATTTTAGGCTTTTTTTTTCAGAATCATCAAACTTTTTGCATTTCGATTTTTTAGTAGCTCTTCAATGAAATTCCAAAAAGAGAAGTCTAATAAATTCGAATTTGGACTGTTAGCAGATCACGAATCCATCGCCACAAAACAGCCATGCTAGTTTCGAAGAAGTGTATCGTTGTATTGGTCCATGGGCCCGAGCACATTCCTGTAGAAAGAGAGAATTGTTATGATTCTGCTTCGTCCGACAGCTTTCTCAAGGATCCCTTCTTGATAGATCCTCCCATTGATTTCCTCGCTTTTATCCATGAAATCCTGTGGAGGCCTGCCTGAGGCCAGGTCCGCCTTAAATCATCAAATTTCCTGGGATCGGAATTCTTGGTATTTTTCACGGATGCCATGAAGGGCTTTATGACAAAGGGTCAAAGCTGATTGTGAGAGATTAAGGCACTCAATTGGTGAACTTTCATTTGTGAAACCACAGGGCGCCCTAGGACCGCCACACCCTGAAAAAAACCCAAACTTCTAATATTTTTCCCTGTGATCTTGCTTCGATTGGACGATAGGAAAACATCCTTTTGATATACGATAACGCCCATTCCACACTTTATTTTTTATTTTGTTGTCGTCGGAATGAATTTTGGAAAGTTTTTTTTTCTGTTTGGCACTCTTGTTTAAGTCTAAGTCATCATGTTGGTCATTTCTCCTATTAATTCTACTCACAAATCGAGTGTTAGTAGCCCGTTCTCATGCGCTTAAGGGTTTATTTTATAGATAGTCTTTCTCTTGCGTGCTTTCCAGCTTTTTGTACGGTTTGTAGAAAGGCTGTGAACCTCGAAGGAATAGTTTAGCTGTCAGTCGAGCTGTCTGCTTTTCGCGCAGACGCATTCCAACTTACACAGGTCTTTGTCAGAACGTGGAAAACAGATTTCCGCTTCCGCAAACCGATGAATAGCATAGATGAACAGTTCGAAAAAGCTTACACAAATTCCTCATACAATCTTTGAAACGAAGCGGAATGTCGCGCGCAAGTAGTTTCTCGCCACCATGTGAATGGGGTATCCAAAACATGTTTCCTGGCCCATCCTCAATTCTTAGGCACAATTCGGTCAAGTGTTGCAGCAGGGTTGCCGGTTTCCCGAGTAGATGCGACAAAGGTACAACATCTTTGTTTCGCAATTCGACACCTGACTTCATCCACCCCCTTTTCTTGAGCAGGATGAACAGTATGGGTTCCTCCTCAAGCGCAACTCACATCCGTTCTTCCCTTGAATTCCCTCATCAAATCTTCAACATAGCACTTCGATTACTCTGCATCACGTGCAATTTGAACAGAAAGCTTACCACGAATACGCCTCGTTACAAATTCCGCCCTGATTTTGCTCACTATGAGTTTTTTTTGTGTTTTTGAATGTTTTCTTCTGCGGCTATGAAAACTGAGTAGGGCGTACTGCGGCTAGATGTGTAAGCTCTGAGACAAGACCAAACTGAAAGCTTTAGCTTTTTTACTTTCCCCATCATTTCTCTAGATTTTTCCACATGTTAGAATGACATGGCCTAATAATATAATGTAATATACATATTATGAATTTGTAATGTGAATAGATAAATGGAAGGAAAAATAACAGACAAATGAAAACACACTTTAATCACCTACAATAATTAGCTGAGGTTTTATAGATGCCGAAGCCGATTGCAATTGGTGCTGTTAGTTCTGATGCATCTCTGTCTCCGCGACCACCTCCTGTTGGTCCGACTCCACGTGTATTGAATGACACAGCCACGGACGTCAGTGATACTTCCTCCTATATACAGGTGCTTCTGCGAATGTATGGCAATCCGATAATTCGTAGCGTACATAGCGTTTTTTAGTTTTTGTCTTCCTAAGGCCAATGTCAGACTTTGCGAATCGCGCGATTCGTTACTAGCGATTCGCGCAATCGCGCGATTCGTTACTAGCGATTCGCTAGCGTCCTCGGTCGCGCTGCGGCACCAGCCATTTGAGTGATTCACTGGCCGCGACACGACCGCAGACGCTAACGAATCGCGCGATTCGCAAATTTGATATCGGCCTAACTCACAAGGAAAGGATCCCACCTCGACATGGCCTTTCAGGATGGGATGCATATTTCTGTACTAATCTTGGGACGCTGAATTCGAATCTGCCCTCCAAATATGCTAAACGATTCTCTGAACGAAGTTGCGAAATCGTTTATCGGCGGAGAGTGCGTTCATGAGTCACTGGAGCCGCAATGGGGACGTGCTTCGGTGGCGCAGTTGGTAAGTGGATGGACTTGGGGGCTCGGGATGGAGGTTCGAATTCTTGATGAGTACGCAAGTTTTGCCTTTTATCCTTTCGGCTCCTAAACTTTTGCAAAACGGTTCTAGACCCCTTTTTGACTAGTAGCACGATTTTTCGACCGCGAACACGTGCTGAAAACAGGGTTTTGAGCACAAATTTCAGTTCAACCACCAATGCTCAAGGAATGATCAGGAGAGGATTGTACGCAACCTCCATCGCTCGATTTCGCATTTCGACACCTTTCGGCAATCGTATTTGACAACATGTTTGGCCAGCAGAGGATTTCAAAACCTTTGGATGCCCATGTGCCACCCCAAAGAAGAAGCAGCGCAACAGTCATCTTCTCAACATATTCTCCATCAGACTTCCAGCGAAATATTCTGCCCAAAGGTGGTGCGGTCTCATTTGGTGAAGAAATTTGGTTCCTGTGACATTACGCGAGCACTATTTCGGAAAGAGCGAAAGCTGATAGAGGGTTTTTCCTCGATATTGCGTGACGCTATATATGACAACCTTCTTATCGACATCGAGGAAGACAATTTCGTAGAGAACGACCACACTGACCCCCTCTGGTCACCTGAAGACGACAGTTTCGGCACAACCAAACCGATTTCAGTAATACTTGCAGTGAATAAAGTCTTCAGTACCTTTACATAAACGGAAAATGCTTGCGGTTCCCATTGAAACGGAATTTTCCGTGGAGACCCTGTTTTCAGCACGTGTTCGCGGTCGAAAAGGCGTGCTACTAGTCAAAAAGGGGTCTAGAACCGTTTTGCTTAGGAGCCGAAAGGATAAAAGGCAAAACTAGCGTACTCATCAAGGATTCGAACCTCCATCTCGAACCCCCAAGTCCATCCGCTTACCAACTGCGCCACCGAAGCACATCCCCGTTGCGGCTCCAATGACTCATGAACGCACTCTCCGCCGATAAACGATTTCGCAACTTCGTTCAGAGAATCGTTTAGCAGATTTGGAGGGCAGATTCGAATTCAGCGTCCCAAGATTGGTACAGATATGTGCATGCCATCCTGAAAGGCCATGTCGAGGTGGGATCCTTTCCTTGTCAGTTATTTCAGAATGAACTATTTTCCAGCTCATGTTAACTA